AGCCTGCTGAAATGGCTGCCTCAGGGTCTGTGTCTTGTGCTGGGTGAAGTCATGTCAACACTGTTTCTCTTACAAACACCAATGCTTATGACCATTTTTGTTCACATGTCCTGTTATAGCTGCCTGGCCCACCCTCCCTCCCTCTGAAATAAACTTTCACAGGTGTCGGGTGGGAAAGCAAGCCTTACTTTGCCTAAGGGGTTCTGGGCCCATCTCCAAGCTAAAGATGCCAGTCTCAGGGCAAGATGAGAGGACTGAGTCAGAGACCAGGGCAAGACCATGGGATCAGAAGAAAGAGCCAGACCAAGGTCTGCTGGCCCCTCCTGCTCACTGGAGGAAGACACTCCTTGACTTCTCCTTGCTCTCCCAGCCCCAAAGGCCCAGCTGGCTGGGGACACAGGGAAAAATCCATACATAGGATCCTTGACCCTTGCTAGGAGTTGTATCAATATGGCTCTGATCCCAGGCATAGACAGAGGTCCTAGCCTCAGAACAGATGCCCTCTATTCCTTTCAGTTCGCAAGTTTCCAGGCGCTACCCCAACTTTTGCCTGTGTGGATTCTGTGGACTCACACCTCGCTCCTTCCTAGAATGTTGTAGATCCTTTGTGCAGCTGCTCGAGCACATTCCTGTCAGAGGAATAAATATCAGCACAGCGGCATGAAAATGAGGAAGAAATTAGTTGTGACGTCAAGCAGCAGGAGTTGAAGCTTAGCCCCCCGCCCCCCTACTATGTTTGTGACCTTGGGCACTGCAGCTTATCTATCCAGCTTCAGTTTTTCTGAGTATAAAATGGGCAACACTTCTTCAAGGGGTCGTGTGAGGGTTAAATAAAATAGTGCATAGTTGTGTTTTGGGTTTTTGAGAGAGGGTCTCAGGATAGCTGATGCTGGCCTCCAACTCACTATGTAGCTGAGGATGACTTTGAACTCCCAGTCCTCCTGCTTCTGCCTCCTGACTGCTGGCATTACAGGTCTGTGCCACCATACCCAGCTTTGGGGTTTTTGCTGTTTCTTTGTTTGTTTTTGAGAGTTTCAATACATATCCCAGGCTAACCTATAATTCAAAAACCACAAACTTCTTGTCTCTGCCTGTCAATCACTCAGATTAAAGGCAGGGTGATTGGGGATGGAGGCACTCCTAGCTTGAAGAAGCTAATAGAGGTAAAGCACTTGGCACAGCATCTGACCAGAACATATACAGATGTATTATTTTAAATTATCATAAGCTGAGCTCTGCTATAGCCCCTCCCTGGCTGAAAATGGATCAGAGTGGCTGAAGCAGCAGAAGAGTGGATGGATGGAGTCAGTTTACACTTAGCCCCACACCTCAGGAAGGGACCCAGACATTGTTCTCATTGGAAGGAGAGAGTGGTAGCTGTCACTGAAGGTGTTTTTGATGTTAATAAAAAGAATTCCCAGACATGTGTTGGGTTATGAAGATTGCCACTTTACCTTCCCAGTCCCCAATGTATCCTTTGCTATGTTCTCTTGATTACAAGTAAGTCCCTAACTAAGTCAATTCAGAGTCAAGAGACGGGGAATTTGTGTGGTCTAAAGGGGGAAGGCAGAAAGTTTAAACACAGCCTGAGCTATATAGCAAAAGCTATCTCAAACAAAAAAAGAGGAAAAAGGTAATTAGATCCCACTGGTTGATAGGTGGAGGGTGAAAGAATTTGAGGTATTATTCAAATCACAATGAGAAGTAAAAGGTAGAAGATTCTAGTCTCCATCCCAGAAGCAGCCAGAAGAATGGCCTAACTCTTAGGAAAAATCCACTTTATCTTGTGGAAGAAGACCACAATGTTCCCTTTTTTTCATTCTTTCATCCATAACATTTACCTATCACCTATCTATCATCTATTTATCTATCTATTTTGTGACACTGGGGCTTGGACCCATGGCCTCATAAATGTTAGGCAAGTGCACTACCACTGAGCTACATGCCCAGCCTCCTCCACATTTTAAATGTATACTTCATGCCAGATACTGGCTGATGCATGGTTATGCAGGGGAAAGCCAAACCAGAATCCTAGTGCTACAAAGAAAGTAGACAGACAGATGAGATGGGAGGCCCATGGAGAGATGAAATAGAATGGTTCCGTGCTAAAAATAGAAAGGGATTGCTTGGGAGAGAGACCTAGAAAGTCAGGGAGTCTTCTAGACAAGCTGGAATCTAGCAGAATCAGGCTTAGAGATCTGGGTAGGCCAAAAGAAGCTAGAAAGTGCCAAATGCCCCACCCATGGGGAAGAGCAAGTCCAAAGCATTGATACATTCTAAAACCATTCTACATGACTATGGCAGGGAAGGACGCCTGTCTAGGAAGAAAGGAATCTGAGCTCTCACCCAAAGGGTGAGCAGAGAAACAACAGTTCGGATCTGACTGCTGTATGGCCGTTGCACCTGGCTAGAGGGACAGCTTCCATTTGGGGCACAGAAGTGACTTAGACTGTTCTTAAAGCTAGGACAAGAGGCCTGCAGGAATTACTAAGAGGCTGCCTGGCTGTAGGACTGGCTACAGGGGACAGAGTAAGAATGGTGTTGGTTAGAATTGTTGGGTAGTTCACAGAGGAAAACAAATACCTTGAAGACAGCTGGTCCAGAAGGCAGCCACTTTATACCACCTGCAACCTACCACCTGCTCTGGCAAGCCTGAGTCTCAACAGCCCCTTCCCACAAAGCAGGACTGGATGGCCACAAGCACAAGACAGAGCCCATCCCCCAGCCCCTACTCAGTCCCAGCCCCAAAGATGCCTGTGAAGCTTCATGAAGGTGTATCAGGCTGCACCCCAGGGAGATGCTGCTCGAGGTTTTAGGACATAGAGCCTCTTTAGCTCAGGGCAGCCCTCCTCAAGCCAGCTTCTGCTAACACCAACACAGCTGGATGGCGACATCTAGAGGCAGCCTCGTGTCTCCCATGGCCTCATACACAAAGCAGAGCACTCTGTTCCTATTATTGTACCCTCACAAATTAGTGACCCAGCCACCAGGCAGGGTTCAAGGTTCTCCCATTTTTCCATGCTACAGCCCAATGGTGACAGCAAAATCCCAGACCTCCCAAATGAACTTTGGGTCCTCTTCTCTTCCACAAACCCAAAGACAGGCTGTCTGAGAACGACAGTCCCACCACCCTACCCACCCAGCCAGCCCTCTCCTCTCCCTCAGCATCTAGACTCATGCAATGACCCCAGACCCAAATGAGATTATGGTTCAGCCATTGCCTCACCTGCAGTGGAGCTTTTTGCAGCTAACTGGCCATTTCTGACCACCCACATCCGTGTTCTCTGGTACTAGATCCTCGTGGCCAAACTCCTCCCTTCTTTTTGCTTCCAGGCCACAGCTTGCTGTTTTCCTATTCCCTGGCCTCCTCTTTTGCAGATTCTTCTCTTTTCCTTGGTGTCCACCCAGCCATCTTCCCTAACTCATTTCACAACCAGCTTTTGTAGCCCTGGGGTGGAACAGGTGTAGGTGTGTGGGAGGGAGGTGGCGGGAGAATGGAGTGGGAAGACTGACAAACACTAACAGCCCTGGTAACATCACAGGGAAACAGATGAGGCAGGACTCCTGGTTCTGTCCCAAACTAAGAGAAGCTATACCCATTCTGAGGTCACTGAGTTATCTCCCTTAGGCCGAGCTTCAAACAGCCTCGGTTGGCCTTGTACTTGGCGGGCACCTTGAACTCTTTCTTGTTCCTTGGATCTCCCACAGCACCCAGATTACCTGCACCATCCTTTTTTTTTCCTGACAGGTAATCTGAGGGCACTCCTTGCCCACCCAGCCACATTTTAAAAAGCTTTGTTTCCACTTTACTAGGACTCTCACCTACCTCAATGCCTTGGAAGCCCGGTCCCCAGACACTGACTGGATCAGATCTCAAGTTTCCTTCTTTGTGTTCTTTCTCTAGATGGCCCTTCCCTGACCCATGTTGCCAGGATCATGAGCTTCTCTGCCCTTTCTAGCTTGAATGACTAGCTCCAGGACACCCAAGGTTTGTGAATTGAGGGCAGGCAGAACTGCAGCCCTGGGAAAACATCCTGCTTCTCTAATGCAGGGAGCTGGGGATTAATGAGGGCTTTCCAGAATCTGGGAGAGGCAGGCAGGTCTGTGGACAAAAAATACAGTAGGCTCCAGGGTGCTCCTCCGTAGACCACTTTCCCGGGAGCCCAGCCTGCTTTTACCCTTGGTGATGAAAGTCAGAAGAGGAATCCTGACCTCCTCACTAAGCTCCTGCTTTCCTATCCAAGCCATTGCCCAGACTAAGACGTGTATTGAGAAAGCAGAAAAGGTCAGAGACCAATGGGACCAACACTCCAACAAGCAGTAAAAAATCACCAGTCCCAAATGGAAGTTACTTGGGAATCTGGCTACTGACAATTCAGGTTAGTCTCCAATAGAGACTATCTAGGGGCATTTAGTAGCCTGGTCTACAGAGTAAGTTCCAGGACAGCCAGACAGAGAAACCCTATCTCAAAAAAAAAAAAAAAAAAAAAAAAAAAAAATCTAGAGACAGAAGGTTAAATCTATACACTTGAATTTTTCCAGCTGGGTGGTGGTGTCTCATACTTGTGATCCTAATAGTCTGGAGACTGGGGCAAGAGGATCTACATATCCAGCCCAATTAACAAGACCCAGTCTCAAAAAGGGGACCAGGGGTATGGGTATGATGGCTTTTAATCCCAGCACTTGGGAGGCAAAGACAGGCGGATCTTTGAGTTCGAGGCCAGCCTGGTCTACAGAGTGAGCACCAGGATAGGCTCCAAAGCTACAGAGAAACTGTCTCAAAAAGCAGAGTTAAATAATAAATAAATAAATAAATACTTAAAAAGGACTCCCCATGTGCTTAGCAGCTACTAAAAGTCTTAGTGCACTATGCTTCTCTTTGGAGCAGGGTCTTCAATAATCCAAACTTGTGCTTGGTCAGATAAAAATGCTGAAACAAAAGTTGGCGCAGCATTCTTAGGTCTAAAAAAATTAATGTTCAAACTAAAGGAGACCAAATCTCATTTTTGTTTCTTTTATTTAAAAGTTCTACTTAAATATCCTCAAAGGTTAGAAAATCGGGGTCAGATAGGAACCACCAGTACACAGCTTAAAATACAAATGCCAGTAATTATTAAAGAACATGGTTAATGATTGTTCCAAGAAAATGCATAGTAAGAAATATTTTTTCCAGGAGGCAAGTTAAACACCAAAGGAAGAAGGGATAGGACCTCAGATGGCTCAGGAAATAGCTATACCGAAGCCCAAACATGCCTCCCCCACCAGGCTAAACACGACAGTTTACATCACATGACAGGCTGCATCAGCCTTGACCTTCAAATCCAATGGGAGTTACACTCAACAACCACCCTTCAAAGACATGAAACTGTGATGGCGCCATTCCAGAATATTATGGTTTAACCTGGGAGGTTACAGCTTCCCACTAGCTGTCCAAGGAAAACAAACTGGTCAAAAGGACAGAACCAGCCTTCTTTGAATACATTGTTGTTGATTTACATAATTATCCCTTTCTTTATCTGAAGGTCAAGCATTCACGTTTTACCTGTGTTTAAAAGATGTCAACTTGATTGTGTCTCAACGGTTTTGTCCAGTGTGCCTAAAAGCTTTTTAACTTTTAAGCCAAATGTACTTCTGGGGAAAACATCCATATATTACAACACCTCAAAGTTACATTATAATAAATTAGCTTTAGCGTTATAAATAACACCTTAGAAAACTGAATCTTATTAACATGATCTAGCATACATTCAAAACTATGATCTCTTCCACAGTTTTACTAACTTCAGAAATCAACAGCACTGTACAAAAAAAAAATCTAAGTTACACCATTTCCATCAGTTTCTTACCCCAATCATGTCATTTTAAGCACCAAGACATACTTCCTTCAAGTTACATCTGTGATATGAAATGGCCAATCTCACTATTAAAAGTCTAAAAATTGAAATCTCTATATGAAATGGATGATAAGAGTTTTGGAAAAACTGACAAGAACCATGAATCTCCTGTCCCATTTCTGTGTCCCAAAGCAAAAGCTCATTTGCTTCAGGAGGCCATGGCCAAGAAGACAGACATACTGACATGTAACCAGAAGGCAATACTCAGAGGAAGAGAAAAGGTAGCTAATAAGCCTGTCTTTCTTCTTTCTCAGTATTTCAGCTGGAAAACAGGAGCATCCATTAGCAGTGAGAAAACACAGACACTCTTGGAGACACAAATGTGAGGTCTGTGTTCTATCAACTTCAGGATAAGTCACCCGAATCAGAACCATTCTGCCAGCCTCCAAAATAGGGCTCAGATATTGAAGACCAGTTAAGGCTCCCAGGAGTAATCCTGGGTTTAGCTGGCACAAGAAACAAAGGACAAACAACAAAAAAAAGTCAGACAAATAGTGTCTTCCATTCAAACAGCAAATCTTCAAGCTAGAATAATAATGACTCACATTTGGGGTTACCGTTTTGTTTTTTTTCCTGAAGCAGGTTCTCACTGTGTAGCCTAGGCTGGCCTTGGTGTCTAACTGGGACACACTATTTTGTTGGTAGACAAGGTGCCATGAACTTCTGATCTTCCCTCCACCACTCAAATGCTGGGATTAAGGCATGTGCCAGCACACCCAGGTTTTTTCTATTTTGAGGCAGCACAGTGGGGGTTTATTACTTAGGACTCTCTTACACATGAAGGTTAAGAGGAAGCCCCCCTCCCCCAGGCAAGTCACACCTGAGAGCATGAAAGAGCCACAGAAAGTAAACATAGCCAAGTGTAGGTACAGGCAGGTCCCTCTAGGGGACAACTGCCTACATTTTGTTTTTGAGTAAAAATCTGAGAGATCAGAAGTAACAGCAATGGTTTCAGAACAAAAAAACCCAAAAGAGTCCCTTTAAAAAACCATATCACTAAACAGGTACACTAGGAAATGTCCAAAGAGCAATCCCCATATTTTTTATTTCATTATTTTGTGAGTATACGAGCCATGTGCATATGTGGAGATCAGAGGGCAAAAAAAACTTCCAACACGTGGGTCCCGGGGATGCAACTCAAGTTTCCAGGGTTGGCAGCCTTTATCCACTGAGCTGTTCTGCCAGCCCAGCCCAACTCTTGACAGAATGTCTACCTACAAAACTGAGGGGGCCAAACCTAATTACCTTTTAGTGTGTAGATGGCATAGTGGGTAAGAGACAAGGGATAGACTAAGACTTTGCCTACAATGCTCTGATGAGGAAATTAAAACTGCCAAAAAAAAAAAAAAAAATACATGTGTTTCCATTTAGGGACACATTTCCTGCTGTTTAATGCCACAGCCAAAGAGAGGAAGAAATGTATCCCCTAAAAAGGATCCATGTGGGTTAGCTTTCAAGCAACACAAGGATTCTGCAGGCCCTATGACCAAATGCATCTCAATTTTCACCCAACTCTCATACCAAATATGGTCTAATCCCCGAGGCGTAGCAATGTCAATTCATAACAGGCAGGGGCAGGTGTCCCATCTGATAAGTCTCTCTCCTCCTTCCCAAGATGCAAAGAGAAAGCCTCGCTCACGGCTGTTCTCTCAGGGCATTCTTTTCCCAACTCTTAGACTCAGGCTGAAATCCTAAATCCACAAACCACTGAATAAGCCCACCCTCAAATGTCCACAACACCAACCACCTGGCCACATCGACACCTCTCTTCCAACCTTTAGAAGAGAGAACAGGTAAAAGATTTTCCAGTAAAGGCAGGGTGAGGCTGGGCAGCATAGGAGAGGTAGTATCATGTCAAGTGTTTGAGGGATATAATCAGAAAGAATGAGAATTATGAATAATCCTGTGGCTAAACCTGATGGAATGTTTTACTAAGCAGAAAGCCAGGGGTCAGGGATTAGACAGAAGTTACCTCCCAGTATGGCTCAAAGGTTTGTGGTGGAACTCAGAAGGGACCAAAGGCTATACAATTAAATTCAGACAACTCAAGAGAGCTAGCCCCTCTCATCCTCAGCTGAGAATACAAACAAGATGAGTGGCTCTAAACGTGTTTACAGCAGTCCTGCTTGCAAGTTTGAGGATTCCATTTTAAAATAAATTTAACCAGCTTTAAAAATGCAAATGGCACAGAACATCTTCAGTCATTACAGAAAATCACACACACAGGAAGTTAGAATACGACATAGAAAAGTGCCCTGAAGACTGCTTTGTAAACCTAGGCTTCCATAATTAGAAAACAAAATAAACAAAAACTATAGCCTAGAAGTTGTGCATAACAGTTCAGAATGATCACATTCATAAATTTTGCAACTGGGTCTCAGAAGATCCTGAATTATTTATTCTTAGACTCATGATTAAATTTAATCTTTAAAAGCACAGGATGACACAGTTTGTCTTTATAAAGGACATGGGCTACATAAGCCTAAGCCATTTTTAGTCTTTATTCTCTGCAGCATAGAGAGTTGATCAGTGCACTCAGAGACAAAAATCACTGCTAATGCTACTAAGTCTGAGTTTCCTTACCTTCCTTTGTTAGTCAATTACTCAGCAACCTATATCTGCCTATTCCTTAATAAGGTCTGAATTGCTCACTTAGAAGTGAAAATGTTTTAAATGGTATTCGTGCTAGCTTTGGCAACGGGGTGAGACTCTGAACCCTCCTTATAATATGTATCAATTGACTCTGAGTTAAAAAACACCACCATGACAGTGATATCATCCCGGTACATCCTGGCTACATCTTCTGGTAATGTCAGCATGGCAGCCAGTCTCTCTGGCTCCATCTCCCCATACTCGTTACTCCCGATGGCATGTCTGATCAGATGCGTGGCTACATTTTGGTCAGCTGCATGGAGGCCACTGGCTTTCCTCTGCAGCAGCAGACTCTGCATGAGGCCCAGGTTGGCTGGTCTTTGGTCCAGGTCCGGTTTATGGCAACCAACCTTGGATAGGTGCCCCACCACCAGCCTTACCACATCCTCATTGCCTAGCATGTCCCACAGACCATCTGAGGCCAGCACAAGGAACTTATCTTGGGGCCTCAGCTTGTGGTATGTAACCTCAGGCTTGGCAGTCAGATAGGGTGGAGTGTAGTAGTGGGGTGGTGTGAACTGGTAGATGTTGAGGGCCTCAGTATCAAAGCCCCTCTCCAGGACACTACGCTGCAACTCTTTACTCCATTTCAGTTGGACATCCCCAAAGGCCCTGCAGGGTATGAGGACACCCAGCAGCCTATCATCTATGATGAGTGTTCTGTCCTCAGACTCAGGGTGTTCTCTCTTAAGCCGGGACAGCTCAGCTTCATTCCAAGCATTGTGGTCACGGGTAAGAGGTAAGCAGGACCACACACCATTATCTTCCTGGACACCAAGGATAGCCCGGCAGTCACCAGCATTTGCTACATGCAGGTGAATTCCATTGACATGGGCCATGCAAGCTGTTGCCCCAGAAAAAGCAACCTGGAGGGATAAGTTCTTTGTCACCTCATCTTCCAGAGGAGCCTGAATTTCTAGTGAGATATCAGAATCCAGTCTCTGGAAGGAGTACATCAATGCTTCTTCGATGCTCAAGCCCATTTCCATATGCAGGTCAAGAAGTTCCTGCCAATAGACTCGAAGGTGGTCCAGATGTACTGACGTGACATCCTTATAAATACTAGCCCCAGGATGCTTGAGCCACTGAAGGATGGGTAGCAAAGGCTGCATGTTTTCCATTGCTTCCTCCATCTGCCCCAAGGTCTGCTGGGACATCAGGGACACTGCCATGTAGTAGAAGAGCCTCTCACTCACCGCTTGTGCACATGCATGGCCGCCATGTCCATCAAAAATACCAAACATTAGTCCATTGGTTTGCATGCAGGAAGCTACACCTTGTCGGTCCTCCACTGGGGAATTGGCAGCCAGCTGGTTGCTCTCAAACCTTAACACTGGAACTCCACTGTTGAAATCAAGAAGCTTGTGAGATGACTCGCCAGCTCGAAGCAAATCATTGACCTGCTCGGGGCTAAGCTGTAAGTGGAAATCCTCTTCCTCAGTTGATGTGTGTCTGAAGGCTTTCTGCAGAGCAAAGCTACCACATGGAATACGGTTCTTTAGAGTCGACGACGTCTGAGGAAAATGCCTCCATTTCAATTGATTCCTGATCGAGGCACCCCTTGAGTATGAGCGTCTACCCCCTTGTAATACAGCAATACGATTCCTTACAGAATTGAAGATCCGGTAGGACACAGTACTTGACATTCTGAAACTATATTGGCAAGTGGAGGTGGGTTGTTCCGTCAATCTGAAAAATTAAAGTTTATAAAAGCTTCAAAGTTCAAATTTTTAAAACATTTCTTTTGCTAATATTCTTTCTGGTTTGATAGAACCAATAAGGGCTTCCTGACTTCCTCCCAGCTGCCTTGTGCCTCCTCTTCCTCTCCTTTCCAGAGGGAGCCCTTTCTCAGGCCAGTGCTTACTATCTAGCTAGCTCCCTTGTTCAATTTCCCCTGCAGTATCCTAGGTATCTGCCCTCCCAAGCAATCTATCTACTCCATGAATTCCAGACACATAGCTGCTTACTAGAAGCCATCCTGGGTCCAGTCCTGTACCTGGTACACAGCAGGTCCTCAAATATTAGCACAACTTGGCAATTTCAGAGCCACAGTGACACACACTATATTTAACAGGCACACTGCTTCACTAGTTTCAATGGCACTTACTATTAGTAGGATGGGAACACTACCAGTCTCAAACGGTTGGGTTTTGTTTTATTATTGTTTTGTGCATCACTAGAGATTGAACAGACAGCCTCTTCTTTTTATTTCTTTATTATATTATATACAACATTCTGCTTCCATGTATATCTGCACACCAGAAGAGGGCACCAGATCTCATTATAGATGGTTGTGAGCCACCATGTGGTTGCTGGGAATTGAACTCAGGACCTCTGGAAGAAGTCAGTGCTCTTAACCTCTGAGCCATCTCTCCAGCCCCCCCAGACAGCCTCTTCTATGCTGATCTACCACTAAGCTACATCTCCAGCCCCCCTTTTATACTTATTTTGAGACAGGATCTCAATGAGTTTCAAGGTTGGCCTTGAACTTTAGCTCCTCCTGCCTCAGATTCCAGAGCAGCTAGAATTAAAGCCACCAGGTACTGTTCTCAAAAGATTTGGGAATTGCCGGGCGTTGGTAGCTCATGCCTTTAATCCCAGCACTTGGGCAGAGGCAGGTGGATCTCTGACTTCAAGGCCAGCCTGGTCTCGAGAGTGACTGCCAGTATATGCTCCAAAGCTACACAGAGAAACCCTGTCTCGAAGGAAAAAAGAAAAAAAAGATTTGGGAATGTTTTTTGCTGTTGTCATTGTTTTGAGACAGGGTCTCACTTTGCCACCCTGGAGGTCCTGGTATGGATCTGGCTGTCCTCAAACTCGTAGATCTGTCTGCTCCAGCCTGCTGAGTAACTGGATTAAAGGTGTGTACCACCACAAACAGTGGTGGTACACTGTAGTACACTGAACTCGGGAGGCAGATGAATCTGTGATTTGGAGGCCAGCCTGGTATACAAAGAAGAGTTCCAGCATAGCCAGGGCTACACAGAGAAATCCTGCTTCAGGAAAAAAAAAAGGGGGGGGGAGGGGAGAGGTTGGGTACCACCATGCCTAGTTTTCAGAAAGTTTGCAAAAATAAAATATGACACTTCTAGGCCAAGCTTGGTGCTATATGACTTTAATTCCAGAATTTGGGAGGCAAAGAGGCAGAGGCAAGCTAATCTCTGTGAGTTCAACACTAGCCTGATTTACATAGCAGATTGTTGTTTTTTTTGCATCATCCTGGGCCAGCCATGGTAACAAAATGAGGCCATGCAGGGTGGGATTCAAGGAGTTGGGAGTGGTGATGCAAACCTTTAATCCCAGCATTTGGGAGGAATAGGCAAGTAGAGTTTGAGGCCAGCTACACAGAGAAGTCCTGTCTCAATATACAGTAAGAAAAAATAGTCAAACCGGGTGTGGTGACACACTCCTTTAATCCCAGCACAAGAGAGGCAGAGGCAGGCAGATCTCTGTTGAGTTCAAGGCCAGCCTGGTTTAGAGTGAGTTCCAGAAGAGCCAAGGCTACACAGAAAAACTCGTCTCAAAAAAAAAAAAAAAAAAAAAAAAAAAAAAGCCAGGCATTGGTGGCCCACACCTTTAACCCCAGTACTTGGGAGGCAGAGGCAGGCTGATCTCTGTGAGTCCAAGACCAACCTGGCCTACAAGAGCTAGTTCCAGGACAGCGTCCAAAGCCACAGAGAAACGCTCTCAATAAATATTAAATAAATAAATAAATAAATAAATGAGGTTTTCACTATTTGCCATTGAGGTACTTTCTTCTAGTTATTCTGTACTGGTTTTTATATCGTTGGGCCAAGTACATTTAATCTGGCTTCCGTGTTAAAGGCAATGTTTTCAGTGATAGTACAGTTTGTCGATTTTGCCATAAACATTCACAATTACTGGAGACCGGGAGCTTGTTTCCACTAACCTGGTACTTATTAAACACCAAACTGCATGGCCTTTACAGCTACCTTTTCCTTACTTGTTTCCAAAATCAGTAGGTCAAAGGGTATAAACGCACTGTCAAATTGATTTCCCAAAGCCAGTGAGAACTGTCCATTACCCACCCGGCTGAACTTGGGGCAGATGAGGTCGGTCAGAGGCAGATGGCCTCAGACGCCCCTTGACCCTGCAAAAAGCACAGGCAGCTGGGCGCAATGAAAACCATTCTCGCAGATGGGACAGAATTTAGCGCCCCTAAAGAAATCAAGTCTCTTGATTCTTAGCTGGGAGGTAGGGTTCTAGCTAAGAACTGCGGCTCTGGTTTAGTGTTCCCTAAAACAGGAATCCGCTTTGCAACGCCCAGCTCACGGGTGCTCCAGTACTAAGAAAGCTGATGCAGGGAACCTGCTAACCAGCCGGCTACACTAGTGCGGGGGCCCACGTGGCGCTTGCGTGTGAGTGGGGTGACCACGACCGAGGGACCAGCTCGTCCCGCCCTCTCACCTCATCTCCTCTCCGCCCCATCACCTGAGGCGCCCGCAGGCCAGGCTGGGGAACATGTCCGCACCCCAACTAGTCCCCTTCCTTACCTCGTCCCCTGGTCCTCTCCGCACCAGCTTGAGCCGCCCGCACTCAGCAGATGCTCTCAGCTCAGATCCTGCGCGCAGTGCCTCGGTTACAGAGACTGCCTTACACTTCCCCAGAGGCCCGGAGTTAAGGAACCAGCACCAGAAGAAAGCTCCCTCCCGCCATTTCTGATTGGCTTAATTTCGAAGGCGGGCCCTTGATGGACGTAGATATTACCCAATGGATGAAGAGGGAAAGAGGAAGACAGAGAGGCGGGGGGGGGGGGGGGCGCCCCGCCCCCCACCCTCCGGGGTGGGGGGCCACTGCACCACCAGGCCGTCACGTGAGACCTGAGACCGTGCCCCCAGCCTGCCTTATCGCCACACCCTCAGGCCCAGAACCCAGAGACTCCTCCAGTTCCTTATTGTTCATTCTTGCATAGGTTCCTCCCGGGATTTGTTCCTTCCCTCCTTGCTCCTCTCCTTGCCTTATCGCCCTTATGATCAACCTTTTGGATACCTGCCTTGAAGGCCTTATGGACGACTCTAGTTGTACTTGCCCTGACCTTATTTTCCAAACCTTCTCTTCCTAACCTAGTAAAGATCCCACTGGCACTAGGAAACCCAAATCTAAACATTAGGGCCAATTTGATGCCTACCTTACTTGTCACACACTTTAATCCTGTCATTTTCACCTCCTAAATAACTTCCCACCCATCCATTTGTCAGTGTCAGATTCCAAGTCTCCAGACTCCCTTTTGCCAGATTACACTTAGTCCTAACTATTCTTCCTCTAGAGATAGCTGGAATGAGCCTTCTAAAACTTCTGTTTTGTTTTGGTTTGGTTTGGGTTTTTTGGTTTTTTGAGACAGGGTTTCTCTGTAGCTTTGGAGCCTATCCTGGCACTCACTCTGTAGACCAGGCTGGCCTTGAACTCAGAGAGATCCGCCTGCCTCTGCTTCCCGAGTGCTGGGATTAAAGGCGTGCACCACCAACGCCCGGCCTTTTTTGTTTTGTTTTGTTTTGGTTTGGTTTTTCTAAAACTTCTGATCTAGCCAGGTGGTGGTGGCATAAGCCTTTAATCCCAGCAGTAGGGAGGCAGAGGCAGGCGGATCTCTGTAAATTCAAGGCCAGCCTGGTCTACAAAGTGAGTTCCAGAACAGGCTCTAAAGCAATACAGAGAAACCCTGTCTCAAAAAAAAAAACAAAAATAAAATAAATAAATAAATAAAACTTTGCAGGGCGTTGGTGGCCCACATCTTTAATCCCAGCAGCCTGGTCTCCTGAGTGACTGCCAGGATAGGCTCCAAAGCTACACAAAGAAACCCTGTCTCAGAAAAATAAATAAATAAATAAATAATAAATAAAAAAATAAAACTTCTGATCTAAAGTGTTGCTAATCACTACTTTGATTCACAATTACATTGGTCAATTAGCAACAAGTGATGGTAGCTGGCACTATTTCTTGTTGGTAGCTTGATAAAGGCAGAGGACCAGAGCAGCATATATTCCCTCAATGCCTTCTTTACTTCTTTCCTTATAAACTGTTTTAATAGGGCTTTCCGATCATGAAGTCAAAGAGAAATAAGAGACAGAAGAAAGGTCTGAAAAATGGGGTCTCCAGAAAGAAAGAGACACTGGCCTACCAGAGAAGCCTGAACCCAAAGCCATGCCTAAGGTGGAGTGCTTCTGTCATATTTCTGTGAACGATATATATCCTGTTACTCAGCCTCAGGCCTTCCAAGAAGGTGGTTGTTTGGAAGCATTTTGTCTTTGTTTTTGAGGGAGAATCTCACTATGTAGTCCTAGCTAGTTTAGAACTAGCTATGTAGGCCAACCTGGCCTCCATCTTACAAAGATCCACCTGCTTCTGCCTAAAGGCCTTGTTTTACTGTGGGTTGTATTTTGGTTTGGGGTACTATTGGACTTAGAGTCTCCCATATACTAGACAAACACTCTTCCACAGAGACGTCTTTTCACCTCTCTCCTCTGCCCACCCACCTCCTATTTTAATGCTGTGAGAGAAGTTATCCAGGCCAACCTCAGGAGTAGCTGGGATTATAGATTTACACCACCAGGTGGAGCCCTTTCTGGAAGTTCAGAATCAGAATTTGTACAATGTCTCTTCCGGACACTGGAGGGTCTGTCTTTTTCAGGCCCATACTAAAAGTTCTGATTAAGAAATGGGCATGAGAGAACAGAGAAGCATGCTTTGTTTGTTGTTAGCATTCAGGTATCTGTACTGGCCTGTCCTTGGGGTTCTGACAGGATACACCCTCAGCTACAGCCACTAAAAGCACCACCTGTGCATATTCACTATGTTCCCTTTTAAAAGGCCCTGCCCACCTCCCATCCTCTCTTTCTCTCCCTGTCTGTCTATTTCCCACCTCTCTCTCTCTCTCTCTCTCTCTCTCTCTCTCTCTCTCTCTCCCTCTCTCTTTTCTTTCTCTTTCCCTCCTCTCCCCTCCCTCCCTTCCC